TTTGTTATTCAAATTAATTAAAAGCACATTTTAGCAAAATCTCTTGAGGCCATTTTTGTAGTCACATTTCATGTAGAGTTTTGTTTCCTATTGTTATTGCTAGTCATGAGAGACTGGCTATTACATAAATAATGTGATAATTACATTGAAATTATCAAGTGTACTCTAATAAATTGCTTAACATGTCAGAGGAAGCTAATGTATATCCTTAGAGTGGGAAGAAATCTTGTGGATGGTACATGCAGATAAACACGTTTAGGTGCTATTTTCCCTGTCATCTTTAGTCACACTTCATTGATATGCTGACTGAAAGGAGTAATATTCATAAACAGAGATGTTATCAGAAATAGTGTTTTATAAGTATGCTGCATATTCCAGTCTAATTATAGTTTAGTAGCACTTTTATTTATGACTTTTCAAAGCCTATTTGGTACTTTGTTGATGAAAAGTGAGATTGTGATGTGGCGTTTGTTCCGCTTAAAGAAAATGCTAGAATGCATCAAACTCTAGTTATAATGCAATTTTAAAGACAATTATCATTTTTATGTCCTCACCTTTGAAAATCTTTCTCCAGTTTTATAAGATAAAGAATCTTTTGTTTAAGTGAGATGCATGCTTACTGTTTCTTCATATTATACCTTGTTTCCTCAAATGTAAGAAAAATAATACAATCTCCTTCTCTGTTGATATATAATTTTACATTAAATTAACAGGATAAAGCTAACAATGACCAGCTTTTTAGTCTGTTATGTGTTGTACAATCAGAAAATACATAGTTTTATTTCTCTTAAATCTGTGGATAATTAAAATATTTTTTAGGTGAAACGTGTCTTAGACTTGCCAGTTTCATGTAAATAATCTAAACTACTACTACTGTGGGATTCTGTGATCATACCTTCATGTTTTGATTCCACAAATACATTTAAAATAAATTATGGATCATTTAAAAACGTGACTGATTTTCCAGTAATTGTTCCTCTATTACAATGAAGAGGTGTTTGTTACATCTGTTTTGGGATGAGATATTTATTTTCTAGAAAAACTTCTTGTCTGAGGTCATACATGGAATCAGTGGCAATGCAAATAAACCCCAGAAATTCCAGGTCCTGCTTCCATCCTCTAAACCCTATGTACACTCAGTCTTGATAAATGATACTTCTGAAATATATCTTCTTTTCCCACAGTGGCTTATCCAGATAAAAAGAGCTTAAAAGTCAAATAAGCAGTTTTCAGTGGTATTGTTTCTTTTAATTTTTTGCCTGTTGGGAGATTCTGGAAGTTTTCCTTATAGTAGTGAAAAGGAATAAAAAAAACCTGGTACAATTCAGATTCACACTGCTGTATTCTAATAGATATAAAGAAATTACATTGCATTGTTTGATAGAAAATCTTGTAAAGAAGAAAGTATTTCACTTGCTTTTCATATATTGCAAAAAGTGCAGTATTTAAAGACAGTTTGACAATTGCTTTTGTATATATCTATATAAGAGGCTGGGCCAGGTGATCCTTGAGGTCCCATCTGTCCTGGCACTCTGTGAGTCTATGATCTGGCTTGGCCTGGTTGGTCTTAAACATTCCTCATCACTGTACTTCAGGTGTTGATCACTACTAACATTTAGTGAGCTTTAGTAAGTGGTTATCATGACAGTAAAAACTTGAAGAAATGTTCAGCTAGAAGCAGTCACCTACTCTATACAGACAATCAAACTTCATGAGCTATGGACTGAGGTGGAGCTACGTGATGCCATGTGTCCTGTGTTACAGGGCAGAGATGAACTCTCCTGTCATTAACACTGTAAATGCATAAGTCATATATGAGACCATTAAAGCAAGCTAAGTATTGAATACAGATTTTACTATTCTTCTTAAGTTTTCTGTCTGTATTTTGAGGCAGCAGTGAAAATCCAGCCATTTCCTCCAGGATGTGTGGCTGGTTGTATATAAGAACTGATGTTTCTGCCTCTTATGGGCTTACAAGCTGTGTGAAAAAGACAAATCCCTACACCTGCACATTTCAAGCTGTCGGAGATAGTCATTGTCTTGGCTGCTTGTCCATATACCAACGGCAAGATTTATGACTCTTGTCTCTGCTTATCTGAGAGCATGCAGTGCATTCCTCAATTTGAGTATTAATAAGGCCATCCTGAATAGAACAGCAGTAAAAAACATCCTGCTTGGGAGGGAACAACATGACTTAGCATGTTATAACAAGTTCTGGAAAGCACTGCCTCTTTATAATTGAGTATAAATTGGGAAGTCCATCCTTTTTATTAATCTCTTTTCAATTTTATAAGAAAAATGAGGTGTAATTTATAGTTTGTCTCCTAGTATAAAGCCAGTGGATTTACTCAACATTTTCTTTAAAAACAATAGTTACTTTTTTCCCCCCTGTTATTTATATATTCAGTAACAAATAAAGGAACGTAACAATAAGGCCAAGGCAGTTTAAATTTACCAGATAAGTTTATACTTGCATCTTATACAGCAATGGAGAAGGCACCCTTTAGAACTTTGCATTTCTGTCAATGTACGGACTCATTTATGTGCCCCTGCTGAGCATCCTGAAATTATCTGAAGCAAGGACTTCTGCACAGACTTAAAAGGGCTCTCATCCAGAGAATGTGAAACTATTTTGTGACTGTATTCTGGTATTCATATAGCGTGTGAGTTAAATTCAAGCTACTTAGATGTTAATTTAGAAAACAGTGGAGCCCTCAATCCATTACTGTTCAACATCTTTGTCAATGACCTTGAAGGTGGGACAGTGTCTTCTCAGCAAGTTTGCTGGTGACATGAAGCTGGGAGGATTGGCTGATTCACCTGAAGGCTGTGCAGCCATTCAGTGAGATTTGGACAGGCTGGAGAGCTGGGCAAAGAGGAACCTAATGAGATTCAACATGAGCAAGTGCAGAGTCCTGCACCTGGAAAAGAACAACAAAGTGCACCAGTACAGGCTAGGAGATGATCTGCTAGAGAGCAGCATTGTGGAGAAGGACCTTGGAGTCCTTGTAGACAACAAGTTATCCATGGGACAACAATGTGCCCTTGTGGCCAAGAAAGCCAATGGTATCTTGGGGTGCAATAAGAGGAGTGTGTCCAGAAGATCGAGGGAGGTTCTCCTCCCCCTTTACTTGGCTGTGGTAAGACCTCAGTTGGAGTATTGTGTCCAGTTCTGGGCTTCCCAGTTCAAGAGTGACAGGGATCTACTTGATCGAGTGTACTATGCCTATATTAACTTGAATCTTCTTTTGCTTCAGCTTCTGAAGCATTGTTAATATTGGTTAGTGATTATATATATATATGTTCTGTGCTCAATTAGTTTGGATCTTTACCTAGTATCTAGATTTTTCTTCGGTGTCTGCTTCCCCCATCAGTGCAGTATTTTCAGTTTTAAATGAGTAATGTTTAACTATTACTTACACCTCATGTCAGTGGTTAGTGACTGCTTTTAAATTAACATCTGAGCATCTGCCCCTAGGGCTCTCACCAGGAATCTAAGGGCTCATCTGCAGGAAAATGTAACAACTCCATCCTGTAGTGAGAAACAGGCTGGAAGAGCAGGAGGTTTACAAAACAGAAAAGCCTTTTCAGGTTTAGTAGTACCAGAAAGGCAAAGAGGTGATAAATACATGCTGTTTATTGCTTCAGAAATAGTTTATCTACTTGTTTACTCAACAAGACTGTTTACAAACTGACTGTAGTTTGTGAAATTCAGCCTGACTCAGCTCCTATAAATTTGGATTCTGAGAGCTTCTTGCTGAGGAAGCAGTGGAGTTCTGAATAATTTTTTTTTTTAGATAATACCTTTAGCAAAATTACTTTTGAAAGGAATGACCATAATCTAGGACAGAGTAAATGAAAAGTACAGATACAATGCCTGGCTTGTAATTAGTGATCCTCAGATGATGGTTATTGGCTGTCCATTAGTATTGACAGAGAAAACTAGCATGAAAACTAGAGAGACCATATGGATGCTGATAGTTTTTGTGAGGCATCTGTCCCCATAGTAAGGACATATCTTCAAATTACTTATTGGCACTGTATTCTTGGTCTTTTCAGACCCAAGAATAAATGATGTTACCCCAAAATATGAATAAATTTACACTTTGTAGGCAATGATATCACATTAATGAGAATAACAGCTTAAGCACAACACTGTTTCACTAACTTTCTTTGGTTTTTTTAAGTCTGGCTTAGAAGAACTCTAGAAATTGCATGTTCTACTTCAGCAGTGTGCTTTATTTGGAGATGCTTTCACTGCATGACAGAGTTTATAGAGGGTGTAATTATTTAGATTCCTATATTTGCTGAGAATGAGGTTAGAATGTTCATGTCACTCAGTGATAACAATATTTCAACCCTTCATAAACTATAAGCTCATCTTTTTTTCTGTTGTTCTAGACTTCTGATGAGCTTATTATAAGCCCAGAAAAAAAGAATCTAGAAATCTCCCTCCTTCCTGCCACACACACATAGCTGGTGTCTGATCTGGAATGGATACATGTAATAATCCAAGTTTATATATGTAAAATAATAACAACTTCAAATATTCTTCATGTTTTCCTGTTATTATTCAAAATTGTGTGGTTAGTTTAAATTGCCACACTGTTTATTCAAAATAATAAAATGAATGTTGTCTGGAAAAACAAACAAACAAAAATACAACAAAAAACCTCCACATAGGTTTTCTTTAAGGTAAGTTTGATTTGTTGCAGGGTTATTTGTATTTTGACCCCGAACTAAAAAATAATAATTTCATTAGTTATGATTTGTCAGGTTTATCAAGTTAAACATTTCAGGGTGATGAACTTTTTCCCACACTGATAATCAAAGATGTTCTTTGTGGTTGCATATAGAAGAATGTGTCCAGTGGGTCGAGGGAGGTCATTCTCCCCCTCTACTCTGCCCTGGTGAGGCCACAGCTGGAATACTGTGTCCAGTTCTGGGCTGCACAGTTCAAGAGACAGGGAGTTACTGGAGAGTGTCCAGAAGAGGCTAAGATGACTGGAGGATTGGAGTATCTCCCTGATGAGGAAAGGCTGAGTGAGCTGGGACTGTTCAGCCTGGAGATGAGAAGGCTGAGGGGACACCTGATCAATGTATATAAATATCTAAAGGGTTGGTGCAAGGAAGATGGAGACAGGCTCTTCTCAGCACTTCCCAGTGTCAGAATGAGGAGCAAAAGGTACAAGTTGGAACATAGGAAGTTCCATTTAAATATGAAGAAAAACTTTACAGTGAAGGTGACAGAGCCCTGGGACAGGCTGCCCAGGGAGGTTGTGGAGTCTCCATCTCTGAAGATATTCCAAACCTGCCTGGATACAGTCCTGTGTAAAGTGCTCTAGCTTATCCTACTTCAGTGGGAGTGTTGGACTAGATGGTCTCTAGAGGCCCCTTCCAACTCCAGCAACTCTGTGATTCTGTGACTCTTGTATGCCATTTTAGCTCATTCCTAGTTTGTTTGGTTTGTTTGTTTGTGGTTTTATTTTAGTTTGTTTGGTTTTTTTGTTTCTTCTTTCTCTCACCACCAGGAGGCATTTTTGAGTGTGTGGAATCTGGTCCAATGGGAGCAGAAGAATTAGCCTTCAGATTTGCTGTGAACACAATCAACAGAAACAGAACTCTTCTGCCAAACACCACATTAACATACGACACCCAAAAGATAAATCTCTATGACAGTTTTGAAGCATCCAAAAAAGGTAACCTTTTGCATATTTATTTATTTTTTTAATGAGTAATATGGCTCACTTGGTTTACCAGACAAAATGTCTGTCCAATAAATCCATACGCAGTGAGACTTTACAAGTTTGTGGCTGGCATCAAAGAACTGCTTTAAAGACATTTCCTTGAAGGCTGTAATAGTAACTGCTTGAAAATTACACTCAATTCAGTTTTAAACATTCAATCACTTTAAGTACATCTCTACAAAAACCTTTAGCATATTAAAGTCTAATATAGTTAATCAGGTGTGGGCTTCAAAAGGGAAAAAATAGTTGTAATTTTGTGCATCTTATGTCAGCAAGGCCTGTGCCTAAGAATTTTATTATCAAATGAATGTCTAGGCCTCAGTTCAACATTTTTCTCCAAACTATAAATGATTTGTTTAAAGAAAATTAAAACTTAAAAACTGATCATTTTTCTTAAATTTTCAAATTTTTGATCATCACAAACATTGAAGTTTTCACGTTGCTTTACATTCAAATCTATGACAATATATGCAGGTGGTACTGGCATCATGGCTATGACCTAGAAAGTACAAACCTCAATAAGTTCAATACATATTTATAGGAAAAAAACCAAAGTCTGGTGTCAGAACTCAGCAGGACTGATTTTTGCACTGTATTACGTGTTCTGTAAAAACATTTTCTTACATAGTATGAAAGAATTTGTATGAAGAAAATAAGAAGGGTGAAAGGCTCAAGTTAACCTGTATTTTTTGTATGACAGATTTCTAGCCTAAATCTGCCAAGTGATCTGGTCCTAACATGCCACTTCCAAGGGATGAAGTCTTGAAAACTTTACACAATAGGGGATTTTCGGTGCAAAGATGAATAAAACCACGTGATGCCACATTGGAAATGCTACAAAGGGAAAGGCTGTTTTCTCAGGACAAATGTACCTGAAGCACATCTTTAAAGTGGAATATAATACTGATTTTAAAAATCCAGTTTAGAAATTAAGAATTATTTTCTCTTTTGCTATAACATACAGAATTAATCTTGAGAACCAGTTGTGGGTTTTTTTTTTTTTTTTTTTTTTTTTTTTTTGTTAAAAAAACAGTTCTAATACACGTTGTTGTTAGGTGTGGAAATAGTATCCATATTTGTACAGAAATACACACAGTTTGGTCACTGTAATATTCTTCAGTTTATAAAAAATATTATACTAAATTTATGAAGAATATTATAGGCTAAATATTTGTGCCTAGCAAGATGGTTTGCAATGGAGACTGTGTAGAAGAAGGAGACACAACACCTTTAATAGTGTATTTTTGTGTTGTTATTCTAGTGTTTTGGATGATGCATTACAGCAGGTTCTAACAGAAACTGCTCTTTCCTTTACATCTCAGCTAAGTGAATAAAAGAACTGATCTTTAATTCTAGCCCCTTCTTTCTCCTTTCCCCCTAATTTTTCAAATTCAACTGCTTCCTGACTCGAGCACATTCTGTCCTGTGCAATTTAATGGGACAGTTTCTCTCCATTCCTGAGGAGTATATAGAGAGCAGAGAAATTTGTTCTGTGGTCTTGAATTCTTTACACCTTTCCTGAGACAATACAGCTACTTTTAGTCCTTAATTGGGGTTTGCTTGAAGGTGCAAGCTACCCCCTAATCTTAGGCTGCTAATTCTAGACAGACTAGTATAGCTGAAGCAGAATAGCAACATGCCATTGATTGGCTATATTGAATAGATTGCATATATTCATTGTTATCACTTGCATCTTGGATGAGAATGCAACTCTTTTATTTGTAACTGGTCAGCCTGTATCAAAATCTGTGTAATCTTCCAGTGCTAATAGCTTTTTGCTTCATCAGTTTGCAATACAGCCAAATACATTTGTGCTGACAGGTGCTTTAGTTCAGAATCAAAGGCTAAAGGTTAACACAAAATGGTTCATTTTATTATGATGGCTCCAAAGCCGAGTTTTAACAATGAGCTTTAAGTATTTGACTAATTTTGTGGTTCATGATTATGTCCATTAGTGAGCAGGCAGGAGCTGCATCAGAAATAGCCTGTTTAGACCTCCTAGTAACACAGTTTTGAAGTTGAATACAGATTAAATATTAATGGATTTTTAAAAGTACTACATAAAAGAGCAACTTGAAGGCAAGTCAATATTTTCAAGATACTGTTTCAGTAAAGAATAATCTAAATACAAACAAAATATTCCTCAATGCACTGGAAAAATTGGTTTGTGTCTGATAGTGCCAGTGCCATATTGTCACACGTGAAAGCATTGCATTATTCAAATCTCAGAAAGAGGGGGGGTAAAAAAGTCCATTGAAAAGCCATCTGGTGGCTATTGCTGCTGTTAGTGATCCCATTTACTGACATTTGCATAATGCTAGTTGATTACTCTTAGGAAGGGCAATATTAGCATTTTTTTTTTTTTTTTTTTAAATCAAACTAGCAATTTAGGCCCCGATCTGCTACTCAGAAATGTAGTGGATATCCTGTGTGTACACAAGAGTTCATTTAAACCACTGCTGCTATTAAGAAGATGTGCCAGCATAGTTTCTGGAATGCATTTGAAAGACTTCACAATATTTTAATGATATTTAAAAGGATGTGTTCATTAAAACAATTAATTTTCACTTGCTGAGAAAAGTAAAGCAGCAAGATTTGTTTCTACTGCTGAATTACACTGAATTATTTTCATTAGGAGATAACAATTTAGTTTTTCTTCTAGGGAAAATTACCTTTACATTTTACTAGTCAACATGCAGATTTTCAGGAACAGGATTTCTGTATTTTCAGATACAGGAATTAAACTTTCCATTTCAATGACATTAATAAGTTTTTTGATACTTACCTAGAGTCTACTTAACACATCCAAGTTCTGAGTAATTAAAACCTCAATAGAAACAGTGTTGCTTGATTGAGGAAGAAGTCAACAGTTAAACTGCCTAGGTTAGAAGACTGTCCCATGTGGCCCTTTTCCAATTGAAAAGATGCAGCTGAGCACAAATCTCTTTTCTTGTCAGTGCTTTTTGAAAGATACACAGTTGCTGGCCTTTGTGACTTCCACTGACATAGAAATGTTTATTAAATGTAGCTCAGTACTATTTCAATGTTAAGTGTTGCTGTTCATCAGCTCATAGTAAAAGCCTATCAGTGTATTCTGAAGTCGATATCTGTGTGAGTGTTACACAAGCAGGGAGCTCTGTCAGCAATGAAGTTACATGTCATGGAATGCCTTTTGTTTAATATCAATTGTGCAATACTTTCTGGCACACTGCTTTCTTTCCTCTCATCATTGACAGAATTCTGTCTCCTCTTCAGCCTGCGATCAGCTGTCCCTAGGGGTGGCTGCCATCTTCGGACCATCCCATAGCTCCTCAGCTAATGCTGTGCAATCCATCTGCAACGCTTTGGGTGTTCCACATATCCAGACCCGCTGGAAACATCAGGTGTCAGACAACAAGGACTCCTTCTATGTCAGCCTCTATCCAGATTTCTCTTCACTCAGCCGAGCCATCCTTGACCTTGTGCAGTTCTTCAAGTGGAAAACAGTTACTGTTGTTTATGATGACAGCACTGGTAAGGCTAAAGGATTTGACTGTGGGCAGATATACTCATCTATACAAAGAGGGAGGAGGGATATCACTACTCATATTTCTTAATTTAATAAATCTTACCTAAATTATAAGGATCTCTATTGGCAATGTAACAAATATCAAATAATGTGTATTTATTAGCATAAATATTCTCATAAGTGTGCTTCAGTTGCTCAGTTCTCTGTGTTTGAGCTCACAGCTGTCAATAAATCAGACATAATCTATCTGCATTTCCTGCAATGTCTTAACAGTTGCTAACAGCTGTGTCTTTTGATTTTATATAAAGTAAAATTTGGTAACTTTAAAGATGTACTAGTATGCCTGGTGAAATAGAAGACCTAAATTCCGGTGCTGCTTCCAACATTTGTTAAGTTAGAAAACAGATGCTGTATTTGTTTGGAATGTTGGTAGCTGCTTTTTTAGAGAGGATTGCAGAAGAAGCTTTGGTTTTAGCTGCTGGGAGCTGAAACCAAAGGAACTTTGGAGGCTTGTTTTTCAGATGAGTTACATGAGTTGAACTCCTTACTTGCCAGCAGAAATATACCAGTTTGCTGCCTTTCCCTTATCTCACCCTAAAATTACTTTTGCCCTTCTGTTTTAACTTGACAGTGACATATTTGAAAAATATTTTTAAAACTTTTTTGATTTGAGGTCTGTCTAGTGATGGTCAGATCTTGGTAAGAAGAAAATCTGACTGTAATGGAAGATACAAGACAGGTACCTAGCCAAATGAAACATGTTTAATCTTTTTGGAAATGGTGCTAACTTTTTCCATGATGGTTGAACAGCCATTGGCAAGAAAAGAGCATGGTGAGCCTCAAACCCTTCTCATGGTTCAGTGAACTGGAAGACTGTTTCTTGCTACATAATGCTACCATCTATTTGTCTGAAATACATAAATTATATATATATATAAGATAAAGAAACAATGTGTTACATGTGAGACCACCTGTACTGAAGACTAACTCTGAAAGATAACAGCAGTTACAGCAGGACAGAATCCCTGCTTATTATCTAAGTTCAAATAAAATGTGTATATAGCTATGAAAAGTGAGAATGGAGCAGAGATCGAAGTGCATAAAATTATCTATAACTTTTTTTTTTTCTCTGCTTTAAAACAAATAAACAAACTAGAAGATGGTGACATTTTGAGGCTTTATCCTTAAAACTTTGTTGGCTGATGTCACCAAACCCTCAGGTAAACAACCTTCTGATTTCAAGTTCAGCTTTACAAACCTAAGGCAAAAGATGCACAGTCTATTAATTTTTTATTTATTTGTTATTGTGAAATAGGACAGGAAGGAAAACAAAAGCCTCACATTTTAATCAAATGATGATTGAAAAGGTAATTTGTGGTTCAGTGAAACAGTTATAGATTCAGGTTTACATCAATTGGAAAGATTTCTTTGTTTTATATCCTTTGGAGACTATTTTAAAAATAAACCAGTTACCTTTTAAAACAGGCCTTTGAGTTAGAAAGGTAATGATTCAACACTTTGAAACTGCTTTGCTCAATATTTTCATGTAATTTTCACTCCCTTACAAAGCAAAATAAAGCAAAACCACAAAAAGAATATTTCATGGTTAGTGACTCTCTAAACTCCAGGTTTTCAGTGCAAACAGTCATGCTAGACTTCAGCTTTTCATAAAATATGTTTAGAAATAAGAATTGAAGTAGAAATAGGAATTAAGATAGAAAATAAATTTTTCTTATAAATGTTCTACGTGTGACTACTGTAAACATTTAGGAGAAAAAAAATGAGCTCTTTCTAAATAAATGTTAAATAAATTTGACAATAAATCAGGAGAATCAGCTGCTTAGTTTATTTTAAAAGGTTAAAGCTTATTTCAGAAAATATTGATTTTTCAATTTGCATTTCTTTCTGGAATGGCTAGGTGCTTCTTCATATTATGATACTGAGTGTTCCTGGTGATAAACATTCATCCCAGATACAACATGTTTTTTTCTTGAAAGCTGTTGCTGTCTGAAGAGACAGAATAAATAACCCATTTTGGAAAAGGCAATCCTCTCCCTTTTTTGTGGCATTTGCTCTAAGTAAATTTAAATTCTATTTTTTGAAAAAACTTGTCAGTTTTTCTTTGTTAGTAGCATCTCCTATGGATAATTCAAAGACTTCAAAAGCAGCATACACTTCTGGGAAGTCCACAACTTCACTTGCCTTTGAAGTACATATGGGAACAACTCTTGGCTATGAGAAACTGTCAGTCTTAAAGAAGTAGTTTAAATCTTGCTAGAGCTCAACTGCAAACTGGTGTTTTTTGAGGCAAGGGGTAGAGAGAGAGCAACCTTTTGAAAGGAAGCAGGTACTGAAAAGTGTCCAGTGCTAGGGAATCCACCACTTCCCTAGGGATATTATTTCAATCTCTGACTGTTTTCCTAATGAAAAACTTTCTTTTGGTGACCAGCCAGGATCTCCCCAGGAGTAACTTTCACCCATTGCCCATTGCCATCTTTCCCACGTGACTCCTTGTAAAAAGGGAGTCTCCATCTTCTTCATAGCCATCCTTTAAGTACCAGAACATGGTAATAAGCCTTCTGTTTTTCCAAGTCTGAACAAAACTAACTATCTAAGTCTTTTCTTGTACAGCAGGCTTCCCTGTTCTTTGATCATCTTTGTGCCTCTTCTGTGGACCATCTCCAGGCAGTCTGCATATTTCTTGTTTAGTGGGGACAAAGACATTTATTGCTACATATCTATGTCTTACATTTGTCCAGTGATTCCTGAATGTAAGATAGACATGAGTCTTATTTTCCTGTCCTCTTCTCTTTTTAATCACCATTCTCCTACATTGATAACTTATTAAGGATTATAATGTGTGCCCTATATTATGTTTTTTGTGTTATGAATTTCCTTTATCTGAATGGACATTTTCCCAAGTTACATCCTGGTCAAGACAATCAGATGTCAGTACATCAGTTACAGGAATCATTTTCTAAATGCTAAATGCTAAAATTAATATTTCTGGGGGAACAAATTTAATTAATGTGTATTATTACTTTGTAAACAAGGATACAAGGAGAGACAATACTAATCTTATGGACAGGATGAAAAGATAGAAAACATGCATGAATTAGGTCTGGATACTTCTCAAGATAATTTATAGGGAGTTTCCTGTATGTCAAATTTAATGGTATTCATCCTTCAGTAGGGGATAATTTTCTTGATTAAACACAAATGGAAAAACCTCTGTGGTTATTTGACACTCTGCAGTCAGTAAAAGCCCATGTTAACTTCAGTGTCATTCCTAGGAATGCATTGGAGACTGGTAGTTCAAATGCAAACTTCAGCTGCCTCTTGACAGCACCATTGTGCAATCCCCAGTGTTTTTATAGGAAAACAAGCCAGTTGTGTGTCTCTAATAGAGAGGAGAGCATTCTGCTGATGCTACACAAGGCACTCCACACAAGTGTAGATTCAGCCTTCCGTAGTGTGTTTGTGTGCCTTTCAATCCTTAGCATAGCTGCCTTGACAACATTCACGTGGTGAGATGTGCAAAATAAACTGTCATCACTTGTATTTGACCAAGATCAAATCTGGTCTGAGATTGTGTGATAATAAGGTGACACAGAGGAATCCACTCCATGTTCAGAACTCAGTTCATAATAGCAGAGAAATTTGGAGTCCCAGGTCTCTCTCTGCAATAATGAACATCTGCACTTCTAGAAGATTACCATAATGAAGAGCCACTATTGGGTCATCTCCCTCACTGTCCCCTCTGTGAATGAATAGCTGTTCAACTTGCTACTAATTTGAGAAAAGACATGAAGTTGCTTTTCATGAACAACTAGACCCTGCCTCCAACCCTCCCTAATTTTATGATGCAGAAGTAGCTAAGTCAAAGGAGATTAACCTAGGGAGTCTGGCTGCTGCTCCTCATGTCAGTCTGAACTTCAAAATATGGGGTTGTTCTATGCTGATCAGATCTGCCTCGTGATCAGAAGCCTGGAATAAGGAAAGCAGGATATCTTGGCCCAGGAGAAAACTGTTGTTGTGTCATGCTAGACTAGGGACAGAGATACTTCTAAAGGGGTATGATCAATAATGCAGGAAAGTGAAAATATCAGGTTGAATACATCATAGTAAGATAGAGTCAAGACTACAAATAGAATGCATTAGAAAAATAAACTCAATGTTAATTCTACCTAGTCTCAGTAAGAAGGGATGCAGTCTGTTGCAGTGCATATAAGGTAATACGAACAAAAATGAACACAGAATGGACAAAGATTTTAATATTATAAAAAAGCCTTCTGTCCTGGTAGCATTTTGTGGAGTAGGTATTGTGCCAGCAGGTAATGAGTCTGTTCTTTCAGGGAAGAAAAAAATGTGTAAGTCCTTTTCCTGTAAATCTGTGTTTGAATACTCCTGCACTTGACTTCCTTTAGCACTAAATAATAGCTACACTCTGCTTTCTATGACTTAGTTTCTTCCTTTATTTTAGCTCTCAAATTTTTTTTTTTTTAGTGCAGTCCATCTGCTGTGCAGACAAAAAAATGGAATGAGGCTCTAGAACAGTTTTCTTTCCAGTCTGAAGATAAATATTGCTTCCTGTGATAATTCTAAATGGTGAAATATATTCATTTTAACTAGAATTTCCCATTTAAAAAAAAAAAATAAAAATAGCAGGTTGTAATAAGAGGTTAGTTAGCTTTGCTTTTTTCCTTACAGTGATTTGTGGACTTTTTATTACTCAAATACCACTAAACTGTCCCTGGATACTAATTAAGTCCTTTCAGATTTACAGATTTGCTACAGTAAATTGTCTTAAAAAGGAAACTGGAAAAACAGCAGTATGTTCATCAGCTGGTTTCAATTGGTCTCAAAACAGTAACTGAATTTCCAGTGCAAGTTCTAAATTTTGATGCTGAAGGAAACAGACTAGACAAATTCTAAATAAGTTTGTGAATCTCTGAAAATTCCAAAACAAAGACTACTTGAACAATTAGATGCTGGGGCCTTTAAA